TTTTCTTATTTTCAGTGAAGTTGCCAGTTTGAGGGTGTTAATCAGATAGCTTTAGGATGTCCCTTTGTATTAGTCCGGTTTCCATTGCTACAACAAAAGACCTGAAGATGGGTACTCATAAAGAAAAGAGATTTATTACACTCACAGTTTTGGAGGCTGAAAGCCTCCCTATTTGCTTGGCATCTGGTGAGTGCCTGTTGTGAATAGCATTATGGTGTGAGTGCATATGAGAGGGGAAACTCATACAATGAGAGAGGACCCCAGAGAGAAACTAAGGAGGAGCCTTTCTTGGTTCTTTATAACAAGCGTTGGTGAGTGTTTAGTCACTTTTTTCATGGGAAAAGTATCTGATAGCTGCAACTCAAAGGAGTTTTCAAAGTTTCAGCCTTTGTTTGGAAGGCTTAAACAGAGAAACAGCATGACAGAAAAGACTGGTTTGAAGAAAGATGCTTATATCATGGTGGTCAGGAAGGAGAGAGAGAAGGGAGAAGAACATAGCAGGGAGATCAACCTTTCCAGGTTAGACCTGTCTCCTCTGACCAGACCCCTAACAGCAAGTCAGTGATACCAACCCCATAGTTTCACCCTCCAAAAGCCCTGACTATGAGTGTGAGGCCCTTGGTGGATATGTAGATATTAAACATAACATTCTGTCCCTGGACCCTAAAATCTTACATGTATCTCTTTTTTTGCTTTTTTGGTACCAGGGATCGAACTCCAGTCCTTGGGTTTGCGAGGCAGGCGGCGGAACCACTGAGCTAAATCTCTGGCCCTTACACGTATCTCTTTATGCCAAATATATTTAGTCCAAGAGTTGCTAAAGTCTTAACAGTTTAAGAATTGCTGAAAAGTCCAAGTTTGAAGTCTCCTGTGAGATTTGAAACTCTTAGCTGAGAGCCTCTATAAAAATCAAGAGGGTAATTAAATACTTCCAATATGTAATGGCACAAGGTAAAATTTTCTATTCTAAAAGGGAGAATTAAGGGGATAGAAACTAATGGCACTAGAGCAAGACCAAAACCAAGCATAGCAAACATTAAATTCTAAAGCTCTGTCAGGCACAGGACAAAGATGTGAGCTGTAAATGGCTTGGGTGGGCTCACTCCTATGGTATTGCCATAGGAGTTGTTGCAGCTCTCGTGGCCTCTCTTATGGGGTAGCTTTGCTCACTGCCTGCAGCTTTCTTCAGATATTCCATGTTCCTGGCTTCGCCAACTTTCTGGGGTCTCTATTTCCCTTTTAGTTTCACCCTCACAGCTTCATACACTGCCTTCTCAGTGGCATGCTGTCTGGCCTTTCAGGCCTTCTGAAGCCTGAGAGGAACCTTCTTGACCCCACAACTTTTGTATTTTGCATGCGTCTAAAACAAGCACCAAGTAGATGACACCAAGGTCTGCTGCCAGCTTGAGCAGTAGCTAGGCTCCTTTAGATCTTGGCCACAGAAGCCTCTGAGTGCCTGGATGGCTGAGCACTAGACTGAATTGCAGGGAATCAATTCCTAAGGTGGCCCTTCTGGTCCAGCTTTGCATCCATGAACATGCAAAGGGAGGTGATTTCTGCTGATTTCTTGCTGATTTGTGCAGTCCCAGCAAGGCATCTTTCCAGTTGTCTTGATGCAAAATACTTGGCTTCTTTTTTTTTTTTTTTGGTACCGGGGATCGAACTTAGGTCCTTGTGCTTGCGGGGCAGGCAGCAGAACCACTGAGCTAAATCCCTGGCCCTTTATTTTGGTTTTTTGAGACAGGGTCTCACTATGTAGTTCAGGCTGGTGTTGAATTCACTATGTAACTCAGGCTGGCCTCAAACTTGTAGCAATCTTCCTGCCTTAGCCTCCTGAATGTTGAGATTACAGGCATGTGCCACCCAGCCCAGCAATCCATCTGATTCTTGACAAAGGGACCAATAATATATTGGAATAAAGATCCTCTTTAACAAATGATGCTGGGAACTGTGGGTATCCGTATGTAGAAGATTAAAACTAGATCCCTAGATCCCACCCTGTATAAAAATCAATTCAAAGTGGATCAAAGATCTAGGTAAAAGACCTGAAACTTTGAAACTACTAGAAGAAAACATAGGAGAAGCACTTGAAGCCACTAGGCAGAGGCAGAGACTTCCTGAATAGGACTCCAATAGCACAGGAAATAATACCAAGAATCAGCAAATGAGACTACATCAAATTAATAAGTTTTTGGACAGAAAAGGAAACAACCAACAGCATTAAGATCCTACAGAAAGGGAGAAAATCTTTGCAAGCTGCTCTTCTGACAGGATTAATATCTAGACTATATAAAGAACTAACCTCCCGCCCCTGGAAACCCAATCAATAAAAGGGCAAATAAATTGAACAAATACTTCTCAAAAGAAGTACATATGGCCAATAAGTATATGAAAATGTTCAGCATCTTAACTATTAGGAAAATACAAGTCAAAATTATATTATGATTCCATCTCATGCCAGTCAGAATGGCTGTCATCAAGAATACAAAAAAACAGTAAGTGCTGATGAGGATGCAGAAAAAAATTCCTTCTATTCTGCTGGTGGCAATTAAATTAGTAATCGCCACTATGGATATCAGTATGGAGGTTCCTCAAAAAACAAAAAACAGAAGGAGTGTAGGACCCAACTCTACCATTCCTTGGTATATACCCCAAGGAATTAAAGTCAGCACACTATAGTGACACCTGTATACCTATGTTTATTGTGCACAGTACACAGTAGCCAAGATGTGGAACCAGCCTAGGTGTCCATCAATGGATGAATGGATAAATAAAATGTGATCTGTATACACAATGGACCATAAAGACAAACAAAATGGTCATTTACGGGTAGGTGGATGGAACTGGAAATGATCATGTTAAGTAAAATAAGCCAAATTCAGAAAGACAAGAATTGCATGTTTTCCCTAAATTGTGAAATCTAAACAGTCCCCCCCAAAAGGATGAAAGTAGAATGGAGACTATTATTGGGCAAGAGGAAGGAAATGGAGATGTGTGTGTGTAAGGCAAGGTAATAGGGGAAACAGATGTGATCAAGATACGTTATATGCATGTTGAAGATACCACATTGAAACCCAATATTTTGTAAAAGTGATGGGTACTAATAAAATGTTTTTAAAATGTATAAGTGTATTTATTGTTCAGTGTCAGAGTTCCATTCCTCAGTGTATAAACACAATGCGGTAGGTCCACACAATTGGATATTATTTGGCCATAAAAATGAACAAACCTTGAAAACTTTATGCTAAGTAAAAGAAGGCAGTCACAAAGGATCCTATATTGTGATTTGTTAATTTTTTTATTTTTTTAATGTGATTTGTTTAATATGAAGTGTCCAGAATAGGCAAGTTCACTGAGAAAGTAAGTAATTAGCAGGTGCTTAGGGCTGGAGGAGGCAGTAGTGTTAGTGATGATGGTAACAGAAGGATTGGGCCATGATGGATAATAGTAAAGTTTCTTTTTGAAGTTATGGCAATGTTCTAAAATTGATTGTGGTAATAGTTGTATAAGTCTGTGAATATGCTAAAAACCATTGAATCATACAATTGAATTAGGCAAATTGTGTGACATATGAATTAGATCTCAAATCATTGCAAAAGAACAGGGAGCACATGGCTGGGGAGCTACACACATTCAAACTACATTTGTTCACATTGAGATTCTGGAGGAACATCAGGTGGGTACAGATTTTGGGGAGCTGGAGTGAGGTCCCGACTCATTAGCATAGGGGCTCATTCTACAGAAAGCTGCCTTACTCACTTAGTCCACTCTGCTAAGTGGGACACCTTCAACTTTAATACCACTCCATTTTCAGAGGTTATAGCTGAGAACTGACCCCCTTCATGGGCATCCAAGACAACACTCTTACTGAGACTGGCAGATTTCCTTCCAAAATTTCAACCATAATGGCCTTCACTTCCTGTAGTAACCACAAGTGGTTATGATAATGACCCTTAAGTAATTTGCAGAGTATCTCAGGGTATGAATATTGAAATTTAAGGTTTTGTTAATTTTAAATACTTTTAAAGTAACATACTCTAAGTGGATTTGGAATTAGTTTATTTCCTCACTTAGGAGAATAGATCAAGCTGTTAAAACCAAACTGGCCACACAAATCATTGTAGTCACTTTGTATCCCCCACAATTTCACACTTTTCATAGCCCTTCATGCCCACCCCCAACATTACCTGGTAGTGAATGGGAATTCCACACTCACAGTAATGTTAGTGGGAAGGAAGGAAGAATCAGATGATTCTATTAGCTGCTTTAATAACCCTTGCCCAGCTCAGAATTCTCATTTGGTGAGTCTAAGTCCTGACTTCCAACTATGAAATTCCAAGTTTGTGCCTAAATACGTGCCTAAAAGAATAAGAACAAAACCACCAACGGTATGTATCATTTTAATTTGTGTTAATAAAACAAAATAAAAATTTAGATATCAGCTTTGTTCTTTCACCTACTCTTATTAATATACTGGAGAAGTGATTCTTTATAAGAGGACTTAGGTGAGAACTGTCAACATACTACTTCTACCAAAATCTCCACATAAAAATATCTGAATTTAGGTAAATGAAATTTTGGGTTTTGTGGGGGTTTCTTTGGTTTTTTTTTGAGACAGAGTCTCTCTGTGTAGTTCAGGGTGGCTTCAAACTTCTGGCGATCCTCCTGCCTCAGCCTCTCGATGCTAGGCTCACAGGTGTGCACCACTGGACCCAGCTCAACTTGATTTCTTTGTCTGGTATCATCTTTTTACCTTTTACTCATTACTATTTCTCTTGATTATTGAAGCAATACATATTTTTTGTAGACGGTTTAAAGAACTACTTAAAAAGGTAGAACCAGACTGAGCTCTTCATCTTAGTTTTGTCCTGACTCAGCATCTGTGAACAGTTTCCCACTATGCATTTGGCCCGCATGCGCAGTGCTGCCTCAGGGTCCAGCTGCAGTATCCGCTTTGGTACAGCTCTTTCACGGCCCACTTTTTTTCTGTTCTTTTTCAGCACACTCCTTGGCCATACTCACGTAGAGCATTTGAGGAGGCAGCGAAACAAGATCAGGATGGCGGGAGCACAGCGACAAGAGAAGAACATGGCCCCAGAAACGAGGTAGGGCCCCATCCTGTTACTGGGGTAGAGCAGCGATCGGGGCCAAGAAAGGAGGACAAAACAAAGAAAGGCTGTAAAGAGAGACAAGGGTGGGTGGCATGGAGTGGGGAGTGGGGAGGCAGCAGGTGGGCAGGAGGCAGCTCTCACAAGCAGGCGAGGCCTGAGGAAGACCAGAGCGTTTTAAGGATAAGAAAGCTCAGAGCAGCAAAACAACTTTCCCGCAGGGAAGATGCAGATTACAGTTAAATTGGTTTCTTTCCCAAGCACCCCCCTCCCAAACCAGGTGTGATGGTACACGCCTGTAATCCCAGCACTCCTGGAGGCTGAGGCAGGAGGATCACTAGTTCAAACCCAGTGTGGGCAAAAGGGAGAAAGGGAGAGAAAAAGGAATGAAGGAAGGAAGGAAGGAAGGTTGGTCTGGGATGTAGCTCAGTGCAAAGACCCTGGGCTCAATCCATAACAGCAGAAAACAACACATTACAATACAATACCCCACCACTGGATAAGGAGCATGTCTCCATGTTCTCAGAATCCTTCAGGTGTGATTCCTGTCTTCTTTCCACTGAGCTTGACTCTTTCTGCCCCTGACCTTTGCACTAAAGCATTTCTAAGAAGTGAAACTTAAATGAGGGATGTGTGTGAGACTGTGCTTTAGCTGTGTGTATGTGTGGGAGAGGTAGAAATGAAGGTTTGCTTTAAGGACTTTGTGAGGATGGTTTCAGAACTTAGTAAATTTTCCACTCTAAAACCTAAAATCTGCACTTGTTGACATTTTTAAGGTCTGCTCAGGAAGGGGATCCCTCCCTTGCAGCTCACAGAGGTACTCCTGACAGTCAGCCTGGGAGGGAGCCAGAGCCCCACACTTTGGAATCGGTGCTGGAAACAAGCTGGTCTAGTGAGTCCGAGCTTTCCCAGACTTACTCAGGACTCTCTGCCTCGGGACAAACATCAACCTCGTCTGAAATGATCTGGTCTTTGGGGCCTGAAGATTCACTGCCCCAGGTCTCGAATGCTCAGGCCTGGGAGATGTACACTTTAGAGACCCAGGCCAGGGCTGGACAACTGCACCAAAGTTCTGCAGTGGAGGTGACACCTGTCTCAGTCCTGAAGCCGAAACCCTCGAAGGAGAAGGAAGAACTGGCCAACAGAGAAGAAAGCGATGACTTCTTTGTTCGTCCGCTCTGGCCCAGGACGGTTGAGTACATCCTGACCCTGATGGGCTACATCGTGAAGCCAGCCAATATCTGGAGCTCTGTGTACCTGTGGCTTCACAAAGGAGGTGGTAAGTCCGGGAAACAAGGAGCCATGGGGGGCTGGCAGGACAGAGGCCTGCTCAGGATTCAAACTCTGAGCTGTGGTCAATGCTGGAAAGTTGGTACTGTGAGCAGGAGAGGAGCAAGGAGCCTGAATGCCTACAATCATGAGAGGGGAGGTGGTAGAGTGTATCTGATGTGTGGATGGTAGAGCTGAAGGCCTGGTCAGCGGTGGGGGGAATATTATTCAGTTTCTCATCACTGGGACAAGAAGCCCAACATCCCCAGCTTAGAGGAGGAAGGATGTATTTTGGCTCACAGTTTCAGGAGGTTTCAGTCCAGGGTTTGCTGGCATGGCAGAGGAAAGCTCCTCACCTCATGGCAGCTGGAAGCAGAGAATGAGGACAAGCCAGAGAGGGGAAGGGGCTTCGGAGGATAATATACTCTCCCAGGTCACACACCCCCCGTGGTTCACCCTCCTCCAGCGAGGCCCTGTCTCCTAACAGCGCTTTCAGCTCTGAACTTCCAGTGGATTAATCCACTCAGGAGCACAGTGCCCCCATGATCCAATCACCTCCCAAAAGCCGCATCTCAGAACACACGAGATTCAGGGGGGATGTTCTAGATCAAACCATAGCAGTGGAAACCAGGTATCTGGGCCTTCTGGAAATTGGGGACCAGGAGATGAGGTGGCTGGGATGTGAGGATGTGGAAACAGGTGACCCTTGGTGCTGGGGGCCCGGTGTGAGGCCTCTGGTGGTGAGCATGGTGTCTTGGACCTGTGAAGGGTTCCAGGCACTAAAGGCAATGGTTCTCGGAACCCTTCTGGACTCTCCTTTGTAGGCACCTTCTTCTTCATCTACACTGTCATCCTGCTGATTGTCGGGACCCCTCTGCTCTTCCTGGAGATGGCAGTTGGTCAGAGAATGCATCGGAACAGCATGGACACATGGCAGATCATTGCCCCTTGGGCTGGTGGCGTAGGCTACGCCAGCTTTATAGTGAGGAGCTCTGGGCTGCCCAGGCCTCCTTGATTACCATCCCACCCTGAGTCCCAACCCTTGTCTGAAGCAGGTCCCCTGACCACTTCCCCAGGTCATGTCCCTGCATTCCCTCCGAACTCTTCTGTCACATTCCCTGTCTTCCTGTCCCTACTCATCCCCTCAGAGCCAGGGATTTAGCTCTGTGGTGCTGTCACCTGCCTACTCATCCCTCAGCCAGCTCCTCCCTGCTCCCAGATGTGTTTCATCACGAGCACGTACACGAATGTGTTGAATGCCTGGATCCTCTTCTACCTGAGCCACACCTTCCAGTTCCCTCTTCCATGGGAGAAATGTCCCTTATTGAAGAATTCCAGTGACTTTGGTGAGAGGAAGCCAAAGAGAAGGAGAAGGGGAAAATGAAAACTGCAAGGGAATTTGGAAGAGGAAACAGGAGGGAGGAGGGACAAGGCAGAGGAAGACAGAAGGAAACACAGATGGGAGGGGGAGGAGAGGGCAGTGGGGCCCCGAGGGTGGGCGACGACTGTCTGGCAGGCACATCCAAAGCCAGGTCCCCTCAGATCCTGAGTGCGCACAGACGACACCCTCCATGTACTTCTGGTACCAGCAGACCCTGAAGGTCTCAGACAGGATCGAGGATGGTGGGCTGGTGGTCTCGAGTCTCAGCCTGCCTTTCTTTGTGTCCTGGTGTCTTGTTAGTGCCTTCATGATCAAGGGGCTCAAGTTCCTAGGGAAGGTGAGCTGGCATGTTGGGTCCCTTGATGTTCTCAGATGCCACAGCCACCTCACTCCTGGCTCTTTACTTCCACTTGCCCCAAGCCCTGCTGAAATCTCTCCTCTACCGCCTGCTAATTTGTGCCCCAGAACCTTCGATCCCTGATGGCCCCTGCCAGTACACGATGGTAATCTGTCCCCCTCTCGATGCAGGGCATGTTTATCTTGATGTCACTTTCCTATATCATCTTCTTCTGCTTCTTCATCTGGAGTCTACACCTGGAAGGGGCAAAATACGGCCTTAAACATTTGCTAGCTGCCAAGGTGAGGTGGAGGAGACCAAAGTGCCTGTTCTTAGAGCTCCTGTCCCCATTATCTCCTGTTCCGCACCCCCAGCCTTTCTGCTGTAGTTGTCCTCGCCTTCTTTATTACGTCCTCCCTTACACTCACCTTTTCCCTTTCAGATGTCGGCTGTGTATGACCTGAGTGTGTGGTCGGTAGCAGGAGGCCAAGTTTTGTTTGATCTGGGCCTAGGCTTTGGCCCCATTGCCTCCTTATCCTCCCACATGCCCCAGTCCAACAACTGTCTCGGCGATGCCTTTGTCATGGCTCTGATCTACCTGGTCACCTTGCTCTTCATGACACCTTTCATCCTCGCCCTCCTGGGCTTCTGGGCTACAGTCCTCACACATCGCTGCACTGAGAAGTAAGGCCAGCTCCTTCGAGGGGTCCTAGCCCCAGAGAACGGGAGAACCCAAAGACCCACATTCACATATCCCCACTTGGGTGTGCTCTTGAGTCTCTGCTTACCCATTTCTGAAGAGAGTAGAAGCCTGCTGTGGGAGTCTTCAGACTCAGAGGTCACCAACTACCCATCTCGAAATAGCTATGCTAACGTATACTAAAAATGACCAATATTCAAGTCCCCGTTAATCTATCCCCAAAACACAAAATGACACCTCCTGAGAACATACCTATTCAGAGATCCTTCCAAGGCTGTCCTTGGAATTCCTGAATGCCTCCACCTATAACTGTGGGCTCATTAAATTTAGCAATTTCTGTCCATCTGGCATACTTAAATCCAAAAGGATTCTCAGCACTAGAGCCTTTATTGTCAGATCACTCCTGGTTTGTTTATTTATTTGGAGGTACTGGGCATTGGACCCAGGGCCTTGTGAATCTACCACAGTGCTACATCCCTAGGCTCTTATTTTTTATTTTTGAGGTCTTGCTATGTTGCCCAGGCTTCCCTTGAACTTGCAATCTTTCTTCCTCAGCCTCCTGAGTAGGTGGGATTATAGTCATGTCCCACCACTCCCAGCCTAGTTTTTATTCTTTAGGCATTAATTTTAAAAACATCTAGCTGGTTGTGGTAGCACATGCCTGTAATGCCAGTACTTGGGAAGCTGAGGCAGCAGGATTGCCACAGATTCAAAGCCAGCCTGAGGTACATAGTGACCCATACACCAATAATGAACTCACTGAGAAAGAAATTAGGAAAATAATATTATTCACAATAGCTTCAAGAAAAATCAAATATTAGAAATTAACCAAACAAAAGAAGTGAAAGACCTCTACAGTGAAAACTATAGTACTCTGAAAAGGAGATCTAAGAGAAGATTAGAAAATGGAAAGATATCCCCTGTTTCTGGATAGGCAGAATAAATATTGCCAAAATGGCCACATTACCAAAACTGACATATAGATTTAGTGCAGCTCCAATCAGAATACCGACAGCATTCTTCACAGAACTAGAAAATCCTAAAATTGATATGGAACCAGAAGAGAAAAAGAATAGCAAAAGCAATCCTGGGGAACAAGAGTAAAGTAGGAGATACCACAATCCTGGATTTCAAGTTATATTACAAACCTATAGCACAAAAATGGACATTTTTTGGAAGAGAATAGAGGATGCAGAAACAACTCCAGGCACATTCAGCCATCTGATCTTTGACAGAGGGGCCAAAAATATACACTGGAGGAAAGATAGCCTCTTTAATAAATGGTGCTGGGAAAACCAGCTATCTACATGCAGAAGATTGACTCTAGACCTGTATCTCTCACCATGTACTAAAATAAAATCATAATGCATCGTGCCCACGCCCAATGTGTCGGTGGTGGACCTGACCTGCCGCCTGGAGAAAGTGGCCAAATACGATGACATCAAGAAGGTGGTGAAGCAGGGGTCAGAGGGCCCACTGAAGGGCATCCTGCGCTACACCAAGGACCAGGTTGTCTCCTGCGACTTCAACAGTGACACTCACTCTTCCACCTTTGATGCTGGGGCTGGCATCGCCTTCAATGACCACTTTGTCAAGCTTATTTCCTGGTATGACAATGAGCTTGGCTACAGCAACAGAGTGGTGGACCTCATGGTCCACATGGCCTCCAAGGAGTGAGCACCCCAACCACTGCCCCAGCAAGGCGGAAGGGAGAGGCCTCACTGCAGAGGCCCCCCCAACTCAGCCAGCCCGAGCACACTGAGAATCTCCCCACAGCTTCCATCCCAGGCCCTAGAAGGCCCAGAGAGCCTGGCTCATCACACCATCAATAAAGCCTGCTGCACCCCCCCCCCCCAAATCATAATGAATCAAAGATCTAAGTGTTAAATAATCTGCTGGAAAATAAAATAGGTAAAACTCCTGAAAACATGGGCATAGGCAAGGACTTTCTGAACAGCATGCCTGTAATCCCAGCACTCGGGAGACTGAGGTAGGAGAATCACTTTGAGTTTGAGGCCAGCCTGAAAAACATAATGAGTTCAATACCAGCCTAAAACAACATAGTGAGACTTCTCAAGAAAAAAAATTAACAAATAGTATTATAACAAATTAAAAAAACAGGCCAGGGATTTAGCTCAGTGGCAAAATCCCTGCCTCGAAAGTGCAGGGTCCAGAGTTCGATCCCTGGCACCAAAAAAACAACCACCACCAAGATACATTATGTAAAGGTACAAGTTCCCAATGATAAATGTAAATGTATTGTATACCTAAATTGTACCGATAAAAGAATTTATGAAAGAAAAAAACCAAAAAGCTTTTACATAGCAAAGGAAACAACCTCCAGAGTGAAGCAACAACCTACAGGATGGGAAAAAATTTTGGCAGCTACTTCTCAGATGGAGGACTCATATATAGAATATAGAAAGAACTTAAAACATTACCCCCACCAAGTAAAATTCCCAAACAAGAAATTGGCAACTGAAATGAATACCCTTCTCAGAAGAAGTACAAATGGCCAATCAACATAAGAAAATATATTGAACACCTCTAGCTATTAGTGGAACACAAATTAAGACAACACAGATTCCATCTCATTCCAGAAAGAATGGCTATCATCATCAGGAAGTCAAGTAATAACAACTGCTGGTGAGGCTGCAGAGAAAATGGTACCTTTCCACATTGGTGGGAATGTAAACTAGTACAGCTGCTCTGGAAATCAGGATGGAGATTCCTCAAAAAAACTAAAAATAGCAATTTCATTTGATCCAGCTATTCCCCTTCTGGGTATCTTCCCAAAAGAGTTAGACATCCTATCCTGGTGACCCACGCATACCCATGTTTACAGCACCACAACTCATAATAGCTAAACTTGGAAGCACCTGTATGTCCATCAACAGATGAATGGATAAAGAGAATGTGGTATATATACACAATGGAGTACTACTGTGCCACTGCAGTATTGTTTTCAGAAGGTTGAAAAACATCTTTAAGCCCTTTAATAATTTCTGATGAAAAGATTAGTCCAAATAGCTAACTGGCCTACTAACAGAATAACATATGTAGTATTTTGTTTTCTAAAATGTGATCCAACTGTTCTTATTTTCTAAAATCTTGCATTTCGCTCATATCAGTAAATCTTGGCACACCTTCTAATGCTGTTCTTACAGAGCAGTGAGCTGAGCTTGAATGGATTTGTACGAGTTAGCTGAGTGAAGAATGACAGGGTTGGGGAGGTCCCTAATGAGACAGCATATTAAATAGGTACATGTGAGCAGCACATGGACTATCAACGGGGTTGTGGAGGGTGATGAGACTAGCATAGTCAACGGGGTTCACATCAGAAAGTCAAAGGCTCACACCTATAATTCCTGCACTCTGGGAGGCCGAGGCAGGAGGATCACTAGCTTGTCTAGCCCAGTCTGGGCAACTTAGTGATTTAGAGAGACCCTGTTTCAAAATTTAAAAAGGGCTGGGGTATCGGTCAGTGCAAAGGACCTGGTTTCAATCTCCAGTAGCACACAAAAAAATTTTTTGTGTGGTACCAGGGATGAAACTCTGCACCTTGTGCTTGTGAGGCAGGCGGTGGCACCACTGAGCTAAATCCCCAGCCAAAAAAAATTTTTTTAAGAAGCAGGTTTCGCTCACATAGCAGAGCTCCTTGGGAACATTCATTATACATAGCATAGTCCAAGTAAACTGCTCCCAGCATTCTGTGGTTTGAAATTTAGATGGTCAACTTTCACCCACTGGTCTCAGCAAGGAAGTGGGTGTGAATGAATTCCCATCACTAGAGGAAAGACTCCAAGTCCCTGGGGGTTATAGAAAACCCTCCTCTTGAGGGGCCCATGGTCATCAACTCTTTGGGCTCACATAGTGAATTCATGGCCTCAAAAGTGGGTGCCTCCCAGGTTTCCTCCCCGGTTAGTAATGGTAGGCTAGCAGGCAGCTTTCTCTTGCTTGGCAAGGTGGAGAAAGAGATGCCCTGTCCCAAGAGGCTTCACTGTCTGTCTGACTGAACTGCTTTCCTCAGGAACATGGAAATGCTGTTGATGCTGGTGAACATGGGGATACTGCCTCCTGAGGCTAAGCCCCCTGATGACCTGAACAACGACCCCACCTCCACCTACAGCTCCTGGCTTAGCGGCCTCGCCCAGGATATCAAGAGCCTGGTGCTCAGCAAGGTGTCCAAGTGTGACAGAGAGTTGAGGATTCTGCAGGTGAGTGCAGAGAGCTGCAGGTGGCCCAGAATCCTCTGGGCCTGCAGGACACAGTGAGTGTGGCTTCTGTGCACTGGGGAAAATCTCAGAAACCCCATGTAACCATCAGTCCCACCAATAGAAAGAGGTGTGGCTCACTTCTGCGAGCAATGGAGGTGGATCTGCTTTTCTTTCTTTCTGATTTGCTTGGAGGTCTGCTTTTCTCAGTGGTTCAGGGCTTTCAAAGCATTTTCCAGAGAAACTAGAACGTACCTTTGCATTTTGCTTTTGCTGTTCTTGTTGCTAGATTCAAAGATGCTGCAACTCCTCCCTCTTCTCTCCTTACAGGCTAAGGAGGGCCCAGGCTTTGTATTCCTGTCCTTTGCTGAAGCCGTATCCTTCCTTCCTCGGTCAATCTTCTGGTGCATCCTCTTCTTCTTGATGCTGCTGTTGCTAAGCTTGAGCACCACGATAGGATTCATGCAAGGCCTCATTATCCCGCTCCAGGACCCCTCCTCTTTCCTCAGAAAACAAACCAAGCTGCTCACAGGTACTCTGACCCACAGCCTGCTTCTCAACCCTGATGGCCCTTAGCTGGCCCTGGTCATCCTGCCAGCCTTCTGACCCAGTGTTTCCTCCAGGGAGCATCTCTATGCTGCTGTTCCTATGTGGTCTGTACTTCACTCGTCCCCCTGGCGTTTACATCATCAAGCTGGTGAGGGAATACTGGACCCCCATGCCCATCATCTTCATCATCATCTGTGAAAACATTGCCGTGGCCTGGGCCTTCAGGGCCAAGAGGTGACATCCTAAGCTGAGTCTCCTGGAAAGCATGGGTCTGAGGGGGAGATTGACCCCTTTCTTGTTGCTTCTGCTTTTCACCCAACTAGAGTGACATAGCAGGGCCTTTTGGGTCATCTTTTTATCATTTCTTTATTTAACACACACATTTTCATATGCAGCAGGCACTGTTTTAGTTACCAGAAATACTGTGTTCCATAAACACCCCTGTCCTCAGGGAACTTACATTCTGGTGGTGTAGACAGGTAATAACCAAACTGACAGAAATAATGAAAAGGATGAGGGACCTGAGGAAGTCAGAGTAGGGCAAGATGACCTAGACCAGGAGTTGGGTCCTGACAGGGTGGGAGAGGGGCCTTCTGGGACAGTGACCCGTGAGCAGGTTCCAGCACGGACCCGGGAGGGAGTCACGACAGAGTTGGAGAGTGACCAGGCAGGGCAGCAGGAAGAGCCAGGTCAGATGAAGCATGGTGTCTGGGTGTGTGGGGAGCAAGCTGGCCAGAGAGGCCGGAGCAGGATGTCAGATGGGGCAGAGAGCGAGTGGGCTGGGTCGTGAGGGCCTTGTAGGGCATGATGGGACTTAAACTTTTCCTGAAGAGCAAGAGCTAATATGTTGGAAGAATTTGGGGAGTAGCATTATCAGATTTATTTTATTTTATATTTTGGTACTGGGGATCAAACTCAGGACCTTGCACTTGCGAGGCAGGCAATGGCTAACCCTGGTCCTATCAGATTTATTTTTTACAAAGATGTCTGTCACTGCATTGTGAAGGACAGACTGCAGAGCCAAATGTGAAACGAGAATTGGGAGCTACACCCTCTTCCAGTGAGAGCTAGCTGGCCCGGGCTTGGGTGGTAAAGGTGTAGCTGGAGCGAAGTAGTCTGATTTTGGAAAGGGGAGCTACCAGGAAAGGGGACAAGATAACCAGGGGCGGGACCTGCAAGTCCTAACTGGAATGGAAGAGAAGGAGAGTCCAGACCAAGGACACAGGACTCCTGAGTCTGACCTTTTTCAGACTGGTGTGTGAGCATCCATGTGGTGCCACTCAGGCACGGAGGCTCAAAGGGTGGCACATGCAGGTGGCAGTGGTTCTTGGAGTCATTTCCTCCACTTATTACCTCATCGACGAACTCAGACACCTCTTGAGACCGTCTGTGTCAGGAAAGCCAGGTGGGCCTGGGACATGATTGCTTAGTTTGAGCCCCCTCTGCTCCAAGAGCACAGAGTCCAAAGTGAAGGAGCATGGGAAGAATCCCAGCAGGCGGTGGGAAGTCAGTATTGGAGGAATAGGGTCAGGCTAGGTAGGGCCACAGATGGTTGCTTAAGGGAGAGGGCGAGCTAGGGATGCTGTCCCAGGGGGAGGAGGCTGGAGCAGAGTCTGGCGGATGAATAGGCAGAGAAAGGGGGAGGGGGACATTTGATGCCAGTGGCCCCTCTTACATGTTCATGGAGACAGAGAACATGTAGTAGAGGAGGCTGGGCATGAGGCTGATAAAACTAGGATCAGTCCCCTGAGAACTGTATTTCCCTTTGTTCACTCCTGGGTACCCAGCATCTGCGAGCCCCTGGCCCATCGCGGATATTCTCATATTGGAGGGGTGAATGGGAGGGAAGTGGCGGTGAGATGCACAGAAGGCCTCACACCACAGAGGGACATTTGGAGTCTCCTTGGTTCAGGATGGAAGATGGACTGACTGGAGAGAAGACGAGAGAGGAAGGGACCTGAGAGAAAGCAGGGGTTAGAGCTGTCACAGAATGTCTGAAAGATGCTAAGGTTGGGCTGGCACTGTCCCCAAGGCCAGGTAAGGCCCGGCTGGCCACCCACACCCTTCCTTCCACAGGTTTCTTGGAGACCTGATGAACCTGGCGCAGGGCTTCACCCTCCGCTTCTACAGCTGGGTGTGGAGCTACTTGACTCCGGTCATGCTGCTCGTCATGTTTGTAGCCCTCCTGGTTCAGCGCTGTGTGAAGCCCATCACCTACCTGGCCTGGGACTCAAGCAATGTGAGCGCCCCTGCCCAGGCCCTTGGGGCCCCCAGAGCGTGGGACCGGACCTTCCAGTCCCCTCTCTGAACCCTCCCCGGGTCTCTGCAGTCTACAGAGGTGACTCGAGAGTACCCGTCGTGGGCGCTGCTCTTGATGATCATACTTCTCCTCATTGTCATCGCTCCCATCCCTGTGTACCTCTTCTACGGCCTCGCCCACGGGATTCCCTTCAGGCCCAGTGGTGGGGACAAGCGTGGAAAATCCTCCACACCCCTGCGTCAGGGGAACCAGATGATGCCGGGTAAGGAGGCCCAAGAGAAAGAAGTTCACCAAGATAATAAAGGGACGTGATGATCAGCCAGTCATCCGACTTCCTAGCTCCATTCTTTCTTTCCAACCTCCCGCAGCCCCCAAAACATACCTAACAGCTTCCAACCATTGGTGTCACTGGACCCAGAGCGCTTTCGTTCTCTACGGAGGGGCACTGACAGAGGCAATGGGGCCTGGCTTCAGCCCTGTCGGGCCCCATCTTCTCCTGCGTTTCTGTCCCTGTCCGCAGCACTCTCGTCCCCACCAAACCTGCGCTTCCGGGCTGGAGCGGGAAGAGGCCAGTGACTCAGTCCGCTGAGCCCAGGCCCCGCGGCTGAGAGTTTTTCTGCAGCTGTCTTGGGTGTTGAGTTCTCCGTCACAGGCTTCCGTTCTTTCTAGAACCAAATGTCCAGCCCCTGGCAAACTCAAATTCTACACTACTAGATTGGCCTTATTCAGGGTTTGGCTTTAGCCCAGGAAACGAAGGAAGGCAGACAGGCTATAAATGTGCCTGCTCCTGAGGAGGGCGACCTCATCGTCGGTCTGAAGGCTTTCGAGAGTTTGAGCCAGTGGGTCCCGAAAGCACCGGGTGCATCTGTAAACCACGGCGGGGCCCATCGCCTGTGCTTAGTGAGACACCGCTGGTTTCCTCACGGAGAGGAATCCGGTGGGTTTGGCCAATGTCTGAAAACTGCGGGTCTCTGCCAGCGGCCGGGAGGACCCTCTTCTCCCGGACCAAGGAGCATCAGAGGCGGCGTGGAGGCTGTAGGCAGCGGTGTAGATTCCCGGAGATCCGGGAAATAGGTTCCCCTCAAATGCGCAGAGATCTCAGGAGTTTGGATCGTCCCGGGCCCATGGGCAGTTTCCGAAGGAAAAGAAGACTCAGGTGTGGGCCTGCTGACAGCAGGAAGCTTGTAGGCGTCGGAGGGCTCTGGACGGCCCTCAATTTCAGGGTTGGAGGAGGCGTGGTTTCGAGCCGCTGCCCATTGGCTCCCAGGCCCTTTAATCCCGCCCCTCGCTCCAGCGCCCCCTTCCCATTGGCTCCCGGGCCCCTGCACCCGCCCCTCGCTCCCGCGCCCCCTCCCCGCGCTCCAATCGGGACCACTGGTCTGCTTGACTAGGTTGCCGTGGAGTCGAACACAGTGTGGATGGGAGGGAGGGCGTGGCCTTCTGCTAATGGTGCAATAGCAGGGCCTTGGTCCTCTATTGGGGACCAAGCGATCGCTTCCTTCCAGCGCGCGATGGATGATGCACCTGTCCCTCCCACTGTCTTTCCTCTGGCCACTTGTTTGTTCGTCGTCCTTGCACCCCTGACTCGGGCTGTGTGGACTGGGGCTGCCCCACACTGCTGTAGGGGCGTCGATGCGGCGGCAGAGGCTGGCTTCGGTAGTAGGTGCCTCTCCACAGAGCTCTGGGTGTGGCCGGAGGACCTCTGGACTCTGCCTTGAAGCTCCCGCCTCCTTCCCGGACGCAGCAACTCCCTGGCTGGCGCCTCCGCTTCCGTCCCTCGTGATGGGACCGCTGAGGTCGTCGTCCTGGGGGATTTCGGGGTCTGGGCGCCAAGAACACAGCACTCAGAGACAGACAAACCCACGCGCGTGCTGTTCCAACCCCTCAGAGAGTTCTGGGACACTCAGCGAGGCACTGTCCCCTCCTAGCCTTAGTTTTCTTACTCGTCACATGGAGATGGGGAAGTAGTTCCACAGATTTGCTAGGAAGTCAAATGACAGCATAATGAAGTCGTCCTGCGATAAAAGAGCTGATGTAGAGAATAGTGTGCTGACCGTATCATTTTTCTCTAAATCTGCACATTTATTCAGATTTTATAAACAGAAATTACAACTCGGATATTACCCATTCCATAAGCCGTTTTAAATCACTAGGATCTGAGCTTTACTGGAATGTAGGCTACAAGAAGCCAGGGATTGTTTGCTGCTCACCGTATCCCTACCACCAGCTGCAGTGTCTTGTATATTCATTTCCTAGCCCAAGTGAGCAATCGAGTATTTAAGACTAGATTAGCCCAGGGATGGTGTTTAAATAGCCCACAGTTTTTCAGTCTCTGCCCAAGAATTTTCTATTTCCTAATGTTTTGTTTTGTTTTTTGGGTTGTTTGTTTTTTGGTACCAGGGGTCCAACTCAGTACCTTGCACTTTTGAGGCGGATGAGGTCCAATGAGCTAAATCCCTGACTCTTTTGGGTGTTTTTGAGACAGAGTCTCACTACATAGCCCAGCCTGGCTTCAAATTCACAGTGATCCTCCTGCCTCAGCCTGCCAAATGCTGAGATTGCAGGCGTTCAGCACCACACCTGGCTGTTACCCCCACCCCTACCCCGTACTGGGGATCAAACTCAGGACCTTGCACCTGCAAGGCAGACACAGTGTTACTGAGCTAAATCCTTAGCCATTTCTCTTTTGATTAAAAAAGCCCACTTTTAATAATCTGAAGTGGTATTGTATAAATATAAAAAAGCTTGGTTTGCCCCATGTTTTGTGCCATCAATGTATTGTAGACTCTTACTGATTCCCAGATCTCTAAATTTCTTATCATCTCCATTCATGAACACTCAATTCTCACCTGACCCAGAGCATCTGCACTTCCAGTCCTAGACAAGCTTGTGAAGTTTCCTTCCCTTATATAATTTTAATGAAAGACGTCCGCATTCCTCCCCACACACCACGATCTCCCGTTTCCCCCGCCCTCTCATTCCAAGTAAGACGAGACACCTGGAATCCTTTTCCTCACCCTTTTATTCTACCTTTAACTCCTGGATTTTTTGCTGAGATGCCAGGAGCTAAATGTTCTAAATTTTTATTTAAGATCCCTGGGAGTTTGTCTCTTCTAAGTAAAAAAAAATTCTTCTATTAAAAAAGTTTTTCATGGGGCTGGGGATTTAGCTCAGTTGTTTCACTGCCTGCTGCGCAAGCACAAAGACCCGAGTTCGATCCCCTGTACCAAGAATAAAAATAAAATAAAATAAAATATACTTCTCTGCACGTGAACACCTATCTCTGCAGTCTGCACATTCACACGGACCAGGCTGACACATGTGTGCAGAACGGGCTTTAGTGTCTGTCGTTTATGACATGTTCCTTCTCTTTTTTCTCCTCTCCTTTGAGTTCTTCATTCTGGTTCGTATGTTTTGTGGCTAGAACCCTTCTGTAGGAATTTTCCTCAGAGGGGACAGCTGGGTGACATGCTTATCTCCAATGTCTTCAAATATCTTTGCCCTGGAAGTTAATGATATTAGGCTGGGGAGAGGATTCTTGTGTTTCGGTTCCTTTCTCTCCCTTTAGGCATAGCCTCTGCTTTCCAGGGCTGGTGATGAAAAGCCCCATCCCCGTCTGACCCCTTGGCCTTTGCCTGTAGCTCGTTCTGTCTGGATACCTGACAGGTTTTCTCTACATTGCTGGAGTTCACCGATCCCACCAGATCTGCTGCATACACATCTTTTCTCATTAAAAACACCTGGAACAGGGCCGGGGATTTAGCTCAGTGGTTCCGCCGCCTGCCTTGAAAGCACAAGGTCCCGAGTTTGATCCCCAGTACCAAAAAAAAAGGACACAGAGGAAATGATATTTTAAAAAAATGCCTGGAACACAGTAAAGCTTTCAATTTGAAAAAAAAAGTTTCTCTTTTATTGAGGGACATTATCTTCTAGTTCTAGTTCATTTATTGTCTTTTCTCCATCCGTTCTCCTTTCTTTGGGATTGCTGTTACTGTGCTGTTACTGACACACACACACACACCCTGAACCCATGGTTTTTCTCAACTTTATTCCTCTGTGATGTAGTGTACTATTATTTGTTTGCTTGTTTGTTTTTGTTTTTTGAGGCAGGGTCTCGCGCTATGCAGTTCAGGCTGGCCTTGAACTCCCTATGTAGCCCAGGCTAGCCTCAAACTCCTGCCTCCACTTCCCAAGTGGTGGGATTACAAGTGTGCACTACCACGCCCAGCTAGTGTACTACTTTAATATCCCTCATATATATCGCAAAAATTACCATCTCTCCTTCGATTTATCTGCTGAATTTTAAAGCTTAAACATTATATTCTTTTACCATTTTCAAAAAATCTTTTTGTGTTGCACTTTAATCTCCTCAAGCACCCTTTAGCTTTCTGTGTGTGTGTGTGTGTGTGGTGTGCACGCATGTGCATACCTGTTTAATCCTGCCTGTCTTTTCAGTAGTGCCATTTTCCCAGTCGCCCACAGGGGCCCTTACGTATATTGTCATTTTTATTTGGCAGCTCATTGATGCTAAGATCTGGCTGTAGTGGACCCCTAAGCGGCAGAGTTCTCTAATGCTTGATGCAGTGTTGCAGCCGGTAATCCCAGCTACTCAGGAGGCTGAGGCAGGAGGATCTCAAGTTCAAGGCCAGCGTGGACAATTCAGCAAGACATTGTCTCAAAATAAAAACGGCTGGGGATGTAGCAGTGGCAGAGCGGCTCTTTCCGTCCCCAGCACACGCGCGCGTGTTCTCCACCAGAGGAAGCCTTCTCCATCCTCCTGCCCCGCCTGCGCCCTGTCGCTGGTGCAAACCCCCCCCCCCCCCCCACATACAAGCTCGGGCCCTCACTCGCCCCAGCTGCCCACAGCCCAGCAGCTGCTTGGCTCGGAGGAGCCGCACGGGCCAGCTGTGAGCCGAGAGGACCCCAACCCGCCAGGTTCGCGCACCGCGCAGCCTCAGTCTGCCTAGCAACCAGTGACGTCTCACCCGCGCGGGGTTCAGTTTCCAGGACCTGGTGGCCTCAGGGACAGTTGTCACAGAACACGCTGGGTGGAAGACGCTCCAAGGACTGGGGACCAGGGGTGGGAAGGAGAGGGATGGCCGCTTGCCGAGCGGGGGCTGTGGGGTGGGCGGGCCCTCGACACCTGAGCGAGCTTACGGGTCTGAACTGCATAGCGAGGCCCTGTCTCAAAAAGAAAAAAGAAGAAAAACAGAGGTCGCCTGTAACCTGGTGACCGCAGCTCTCACTGACTCTCGGACTCGCGTCGCTCGACCCGACGAGGCCACCGATTTTCTCGACTCGCGCCCCAGTGGCGGGTAAAGGGG